TGTGTGTGTGGAATCACAGAGCACGTAGTCTTTGGTGTTTTGTCAGCATCGTGTTTTTGAGATTCACCCGTGCTACTGCCCATGTCGATCCTTTGTTCCTTTGAGGACTGAGCAGTGTCCGTCCCATGGACAAACCACAATAGCCATTCCATGCAACTGCGGGGGGCTTCTGGGCTGTTTCCGGTTTGAGGCTGTTACAAATAAAGCTGTTAAGCACAGTTGCCAACTAGCCTCTCCGCGGATGCAAGCTTTCCTTCTGGGTGAATGCAGAAGACGGGTTTTCTGATCACGTGCTCAGTGTGTATTTAACTTTATCAGAAACTGCCAAGCCGGTTTCCACGGCCACAGTGCATGTTCGGCACTGGAGGGACACTCCTCTGGCTTCGCATCCTCACCAGCACCTGCCACGGTCCATCTTTTTAGCTTTAGTCATTCTAATGGAGGCGTAATGGCACTTCTTTGCAGTTTTCATTTGCATACCCCTGTGACTAATGATGATAAACATTGTTTCACGTATGGTGTTGGTCATTTGTGTGTGTGTGTGTGTGTGTATACGTATATACACACACACACATATATACATTTTTTTTTTTTTTGAGACACAGTATTGCTCTGTCACCCAGGCTGGAGTGCAGTGGCACAATCTTGGCTCACTGCAACCTCTGTCTCCTGGGTTCAAGTGATCCTCCTGCCTCAGCCTCTTGAGTAGCTGGGATTACAGGTGTCTGCCACTACACCCGGCTAATTTTTATATTTTTAGTAGAGATGGCATTTCACCATGTTGGCCAGGCTGGTCTTGAACTCCTGACCTCAAGCAATCTGCCCACCTCAGCCTCCCAAAGTGCTGGGATTACAGGCGTGAGCCACTGCACCCGGCCCATATGTATATGTTCTTTAGTGAAGTGTGAAAGACAATAGAATCTCAGGACCCCAAACTCACTATGCCAAAGGGAAAGTTAAGCTAGGAACTGAGTCATGCAAAAACTGCTTTCCTTTTGTTTCCAGGCAGCTGTAGTTTCACAACCCCATGTCACATGTAAAATGCAAAACAGAATGGCATGACAAATGTAAAATGTAGATTTACAGAGGGTTAGTCTTAACTGTTTCCTCGACTCCCTCTTTTCACATGTAAAACACAGATTTACTGAGGCTCTGATTAGCATATGAAATCTAACTATAAAGACTGTAGCTATTTGCCTCATGGTCCTCCTCCCCCTTTTTTTCTCTCCTTCTTGCTCTTTCCCCTTTAAATACCGAAGTGTCCCAAACCCCCTTTGGAAAAAGAACAGCTCGCAAGTGCTCCTGTGGCTTGCATTTCACCCTGGACACATCCTCAACCTTGGCTAAATAAATCTCTATTGATTGAGCCCTGCCTCCATCTCTTTTTGGTTTATAGTTGTCTCTGTTAAACTCTTTTGCCCATTTTTTTAAAAGTTTTTTTGAGACAGAGTCTCCCTCTGTCACCCAGGCTGGAGTGCAGTGGTGTGATCTTGGCTCACTGCAACCTCTACCTCCTGGGTTCAAGTGATTCTCCTGCCTCAGCCTTCCAAGTACCTGGGATTACAGGCACCCACCATCATGCCTGGCTAATTTTTGTATTTTTAGTAGAGACAGGGTTTCACCATGTTGGCCAGGCTAGTCTCGAACTCCTGACCTCAAGTGATTCACCCGGCTCAGCCTCCCAAAGTGCTGGGATTACAGGTGTGAGCCACTGCACCCAGCCTCTTTTGCCCATTTTTAACAAGATTTTTGGTCTTATTATTGAGTTGTGAATAATCAATATTTTGTAAATAATCCATATTTTGTAGAGCAGTGCTGCATCGGACACAGGTGTGAGGGCTCACCCTTGAACTCATATCTAACACGGCACTCTCTGCCAGCTGATGGCTTGCTTTTACAGGTTCTCATTTTGCATTTCCTTCAGCCCACAAAACTTCCTGTTAGTTTATTTTGGTGCAGGTTGGCTGGCAACAAATTCTCTTAGCTTTGTGGGTCTAAAAAAGTCTTTATAGTGCCTTCGTTTCTCAGTAACAGTTTTGACATTTTATTTGCATACAATATAATGTACAATCCAGCAGCTTTTAGCATATTCTGAGTTGTGCGACTATCACCATAATCGATTTTAGAACAATCTCATCACCCACAAAAGAAATCCCATGCCCTTTAGCAGTCTTGCCTTCAGTTTTGGAAGTCTTTTGTGCTTAGTCTAGAATTATTTGATAGATATTTTTCTCTCAGCATTTAAGAAATGTTATTCTATTGTCTTCTAGCCTACATAGTTTCTGATGAGAAGTCTGGAGTCATACCTTTGTTCCTCTGTAAATAATATTTTTTTTCCTCAGGCTGCTTTTAAGATTTCTTTTTAGCACTGGTGTTCAGCAATTTGATTAGGATAGATTTGGTAGATTCTGATGTGTTTATTCTGCTTGATGTTCATTGAAATTCTTGGATCCACGTGTTTACAGTTTTCACCAAATTTGCAAGATGTTCAGCAATTCCTTCCTTAAGTACTTTTTGGTCTCCCTTACCCACCTAGATAGAGACGTAGATCTACAAGCACAGGTCCCTGAGGGGCTTTTCATGTTTTTCAGTCTTTTTGTCTCTCTGCTTAAGTTTGAATTCTTTCTAATGCTGTGTCTTCAAGTTTACTGATATTTTCTTCCGAAATACCCAATCTACTGCTAATTCCTTTCAGGAGATTTTCACTTCAGCCATTGTATTGTTCATTTCTACAAGTACCAGTGGTTTCTTTTTATATCTTCCATAACTCTCCTATTTATGGTCATGTTTCCTGAAAATACTTAATCATATTTACAGTAGCTATTTTAAAGTCATTCTGTGCTCATTTACCATTCCTGTCATTTCTGGGCCTATTGTTACTGACTTTTCTTCTGGGTCTGGGTCACATTTCCTAGTTTCCTTTTATTAGGTTGCTGTTTGTTACAATTAATTTTAATGACAAAACCCACAATTACTTTTGCAACAACCTAATACAACTAGTAATTTTTCTTTCTTTTTTTTTTTTTTGAGAGACAAGGTCTTGCTTATTACCCAGGCTGGAGAGCAGTGGTGCAATCATAGCTCACTGCAGCCTCAAAATCCTGGGCCCAAGCCATCCTCCCACCCTAGCCTCTCATGTAGCTGGGACTACAGGCATGCACCACCATGCCAGGCTAATTTTTAAATTTTCTGTAGAGACAGGGTCTTGCTATGTCACGCAGGCTGATCTTGAACTCCCAGCCTCAAGAGATCCTCACACCTCAGCCTCCCAAAGTGGAGGGATTATAGTCATGAGCTGCTGTGCCTAGCCATCACCAGCAAGTTTTGATTGGACACTGAACACTTATAAATTTTACGTTGTTGAATGCTGGATTTTTAAAAATCTTCTTGTGAAAAGTGTTGGGCTTTGCCCTGGCGGACAGTTTATTTGCAGATCAGCATGATCTCTTAAAAAAATAATTAATCAAAAAAATAGAGATGGGGCCTCTTTATGTTTCCCAAGCTGGTCTCCAATTCCTGATCTCAAGCAATCCTCCTATGTTGGCCTCCCAAGGTGCTGGATTACAGGTGTGAGCCTCCGCGCCCAGCCAGCGTGATCTTTCTGAGGCTCGTTTTCTGCTTCGGCAGAGCAGGTTCACTGTAGCCTTCACTTTAGGGCTGTTTTGTCTTCTGGATAAGACATGACCCTTTTGGTGTCCACACTGCATGCCCTGGGGTTCAACAAGGAATCTCCGCCCTGGACAGGACTCAGATGTTTCCCAAATCCAGCAATTGTTTCGCTGGCAGCCACCTGGTCATGCTCTGCCCCACTGTGTGAAATTTCTCTATGACTACAGGGCTTAGTGCTTGGTCAAAGACTCCAAGGCACCTGTGCAGATCGGTGCTCTTGTCCGCTGTGCTCCCACCCCTCTGGCATCGTGCCCAACAAGTTCCAGCTGTGCCTGCCTTTCTAGTCACTGTCTCCTGCCTCAGGACAATGCCGCACTCCCCTTGGGTCTCTCCCCCAACCCCATGCTAGCCTTCCAGAAACCGCCTCCAGGAAGGAAGCTGGGGCAATCACAGGCCTCACCTCACTTAACTTGTTCCCTTCTCTTAGTTCTGAGCCCCAGAGTCTGGAAATGGTTGTTTCATATATTGTGTCCAGTTTCCTTGTTGTTGATGGTGGCTGGACAAGTCCAGTCCCAGTGACTCCAACATGACCAGGGCTGTCTGTTATTATTTTTTTAAATAATAGATTAACCAGAGGCGATCTTTCAAACCAACTGTGAGATGTCAACCCTTATCTCTAAGCTACATACACAAAAATCAAACATTCAGATAATCCCTGGGAGAGGTCTGACCCAGGTCACGCTACGATGACACAGAGCGACTCTCCCTAGAAATACTCCTTGTCATCGTCACCCCCTGTCCTTAGCATCCTCTGACAACGGTTCCATTTCTGTCTCTGGCGCATGCTGTAACCACAGGGAACTGCTTTGGAAACAACATTGAAAACGTCCCCTGCAAACTGGGTGTGGTGAGACAGGGAGTACAGAACAGAAAATAAACTGTTTTTCATGTTTTTATTCTTTGTTTTCTAGAAACAGAACATTTCCTCTGGGAGGAACAAGTCAGGGGCTGTGGACGGAAGGGGGAGGTAGGGACCACGTGGGAAGGCTGCCTTCGGGCCTCCCTGCTCAGCCCCAGGAGGTGCAGGCAGAGGAGGGCTGGTGCCATCTTGCCGCCTGGGCGAGGACCCAGTCTCCGCAGCCAGCGCTCACTGCTTGCTTGCTCTGTGGCATGCACCAGACCCAAAGCGGGGCAGCCCACCCCTGCCCTTACAGGGAGGCCTCTGGACACACCGCAACAGAAGGGTGCAGACTGTGGGCCCTGGGACAGCCTCGCTGCAGGATGCAGAGGGCAGATCACGGGAGGGAGCAGGAGGAAGAAAGCAAGGGAGGGAGGGAAGGAGAAAGGCCTGGAAGGCCGGGGCGGCGGAGGCCAGGTGCCCGCTCACTCACCGGCAGACGGCGCACACAAAGCAGTCGGGGTGGTAGGTCTTGCCCAGCGCCGACACCACCTCACCCTCGATGAACTGGTCACAGCTGAAGCAGCGGGTGCCGTAGAGCCTCTGGTAGTCCAGCGTGCAGATGTACTCGCCCTGCCGCACGAAGAAGCCGCCCTCGGCCAGGTCGCAGCCGCATGCTGGGGGAGGACGGGCGAGGCGGTGTTAGCGGCAGAGGGGACCATCTCCACGTCCCTCAGGCCCCAGGTGGACCCCCCTCCACACACACACCACCACCTGACACAGGCACCGAGGCCTCAGCACACACTTGGGGTGGCTCACTCAACTCTTGGTGGGCCAGGCTCCCGGGACAGACTCCAGCTCTGGCCCCTGGCCTGGTGGTGAGTGGACTTTCCTTACAGAAGCTTGGGAAAAGGGCGCTGACCGGGACAAGAGCCAGGCTCTCCTGAGGGGCTGCCCAGCCTCCCACCCTGGCTAGGGTGCCCCCCGCCTCTGTGACCCTGCCAGGAATGGTCCCTGAGCCCCTCCTGTCCTCCAGTGGGCTGTTTCCAGCACTGGGCATATAGATCAGGAAGGGGCTAAAGCCTGATCACCTACTGTGTGCTACACTCTGTGCTGGGGGCCGAAGGTTCCCAGGAGGACAGACTAGGTCCTTGTGGTTGGTGCCTCCGGCCCCGCTCGAGACTTCCCAGCCCCGTCCCGCACTCCTCTGGGTCTCCATGCCCTCATGGTCCTCGGTGCCTGTCTCGCCACAGTGTGAACAAGGCCAGCCCTGCAGGAGAGCCTGCGGGTTCCTGAAAGGAAAGAACTTTGTCTCTTTTCCCAACACGCACCCGCCCCAGGAAGCTGAAGCCCTGGAGTTCTATGGAGGGCCGAGGGATCTCTGCCAGGTGGGGAAGGGAACACTCGCCCTCAGGACGACCTGCTGGTCATCACCAGCTCAGAGGCCCTGAGTCCTTGTCCTGAGCACGAGTGCATTCCTCCCATAAGCTTCCCCTCCAGTGCCAGGGCCACGTGGAGGCCATGCGTGGTTTCAGAGGGAGCAGCCCACAGCCTCCCCTGGCCTGGCTGGCCCAGCCCCTCCCTGCTAGCATCACAGAGGAACCCCCTGCAGCCCCAGCCCCTCTGGCCTGGTCAGTCCTGGGTCCTGCCTGCTGGGTCAGTGCAGCTCACAGCCACCAAGGAAGGGCTTTGAGAAACCATGTAGCCCTCATATATTTTAAAGCTGACACCTAAAACTTGTCATTACAATGTTAACTGCTTGCAAAGGATGTCGTTTCTGCATATTGTGAATACGCACACCTTTAAAGTGAACGGTTACATCATTCCTTCGAGGGCATCCAGTGGGATATCAAGTCCAAAACAAGACCCTCAACATCTGCCTACAAAACCCCTGACAGCGCTCTGGAAACAAACTGGCTGGAAGCACCAGAGCGGCTGGAAAGCCTATATTCCGGCATTTAGTTTTCTCCATTTCTACAAAGAGATGTTTGCTCTTCTGATATGGTGAGATGTCAACCGAACAGCTGAGATTCCAGATGCAGGAGCTGCCGGGATAGTGCGCTGTGTCCCTGGGCAAGTTCCTTAACCTCTCTGGGCCTCCTTGTCCTCATCTAGCACACAGAACCTACTTCAGAGGGGTACACGGCAGCACAGATGAGCATCCCGTGAGCCAGTGCGACCTGAGACCTGAGTCCTGCCTGGCTCAGCGTCGACGCCCTGGCTGCTGCTGTAATGGCTGGTCCTAAGAGGCCCGAGCCAGAGATGCTGATTCTGAATTCTGTCTCAATGTGAGAATGAAAACCCAGAATGAAACCCAGTCTAGACGGTCTGGGAGGGATGAGGACATGGTGTGAGATGCCTGCACTCGCTCCTCCTGGGTGTTCCGGGGCATTTATGAGAAACAGCCAAGGACTCCCAGCATCAAAGGGAAGCTGCAGACAGGTGGGCCTCAGCCCCGGGCCAGGGTGCCCTAGCTCTGCACTCCACGCTCTGGCTCATGAAAATCCAGAAGGAAACCCGGGCTGAGTATGAAAATGCTTTGTCTGATCTTGCACCATAGTGTCGACCAAGCAAATACATCCCAACTGGGGAGAACCAGAGACTTGGGGGCCTCACTTTGGAGCATCGTAGTATTCTGATGTCAGCGCCACCCGCACCAAGACAGTAGCTGGATGGTGATCGGGCTCACAGCACTCACGGCTCTGGCATTTGTCTATTTCTCTACTCTTCATAAAGACATGATGGTGTGGGGTGTTCCTTAAAGGAGGAACATGCGGCAGTGGTTCAGGTGCCCCCTCCAGCACCGTGAGTCCACTCCTGGGAGCACCAGGCAAGTGAGTACGTCCAGCCCCAGCCGTTACCTGGGAGGTTGCTGGTCAGATTCTAGCTGTCCTGAGTATGCCAAGGTCACCACAAGGTGGTTAAAACCCAGACCTCTGGCCGGGTGCGGTGGCTCACACCTGCAATCCCAGCACTTTGGGAGGCCGAGGCAGGTGGATCATGAGGTCAGGAGATCGAGACCATCCTGGCTAACACGGTGAAACCCCATCTCTACTACTAAAAATACAAAAAATTAGCCGGGCACAGTGACAGGTAGTCCCAGATACTTGGGAGGCTGAGGCAGGAGAATGGCGTGAAGCCGGGAGGCAAAGCTTGCAGTGAGCCGAGATTGCGCCACTGCACTCCAGCCTGGGTGACAGAGCGAGACTCCATCTCAAAACAAAAAACAAAACAACAACAACAACAGAAACAAAAACCCCAGACCTGCTAAAAATAAAACGTTCAAGTTCCCTGGTCATTTTAGAAGTCCTTAAGGACACAACACATTGTTCTTATATTGCATTTTGTCATTTATCAAATTAGCACAGACACTGGTGGGAGGCAGGGGAGGCGGGGGTGACGGCAGCACCATCCTTCGGGCACACGCTGTGGTCATTTACAAGAAACAGGCAGGAGAGGGTGGCGGCCAGGGGGAAAGGGTGAATCAGCACCACTTTCTGGAATGCCAGTTGGCACTGACTCTAAGGAATGTGAAAACTTCCCACCCTTTGACCCAGCAGTGCCTCTCCTGGGATTGTCCCAAGGAAATGACCACGATTGTCACAGAAATTCAGTTGCAACAATGTTCCCTGCATTATAGATACAGTAAAATGTCATACATAGATCCCTGGGCTTTAGAGTCAGGCAGCCTGGGCTTGAGTCCTTGCTCCTCCCACTTCCCAGCTGTGTGACCTTGACCAAGTTACTTATCCTCTCTGAACCTCAGAGTCCTCATGTGTAGAATAGAGGTAGCAATACCAATCTTGCATGGTGGCTGTAAGAAAGCAATGAGATGAAGGTCAGGCGCGGTGGCTCACGTCTGTAATCCCAGCACTTTGGGAGGCTGTGGCAGGCGGATCACCTGAGGTCAGGAGTTCGAGACCAGCCTGACTAACATGGAGAAACCTCGTTTCTACTAAAAATACAAAATTAGCCGGGAGTGGTGGTTCATGCCTGTAATCCCAGATACTTGGGAGGCTGAGGCAGGAGAATCGATTGAACCCGGGAGGCGGAGGTTGTAGTGAGCCGAGATTACGCCACTGCACTCCAGCCTGGGCAACAAGAATGACACTCCGTCTCAAAAAAAAAAAAGAAAAGAAAAGAAAAGAAAAAGAAATCAATGAGATGAGGTTTAACAAGCCATGCTTTGGAAGGAATTTGGGAGGATATTGACATGAATGTGAGGAATTTGTATGGTGAGAAAGTGCCCACACACTAATTTGAAGTGAACGAATCAGGCATACGGCCGGCATGCTTTCAAATTTTAAAGAGACCCAGACAAGGGGAAAGCTGGGAGGAATATACACCCAGATCCGAACACGGACCACCCAAGGTGCTGTCCACCCACTGCTCTCTATTTTTCTATATTGGAGAGTGGAAGAAGGAGATGCCAATTCACATCAAAACACAAGAAAACAGAGAACCCCAGGGGCCTGAGTGAGCCTTAACCTGGGCGAGGGCTCCAGGGCTGGCCAGTCATCGCGGCTCCAAGTCTTGGCCCAGCCCAGCTCAGGGTCCCCTTCTGTGAATAACAGGGCGATGGGTGGACGTCATCTGAGAGTCCTCCTGCTGGGACTTTCACAACTCTGCCATGTGATCTTGACTCTCCTGGCACCCTGTGCAGCTCAGGCTGTGCGGAACAAGGAGTACCCTGGGCCGGGTCCAAGGCCCACCTGTCTGGAGCTTCCCTTTGATGCTGGAGGCCCATAGCTGTTTCTCATAAACGCCTGGAATGCCCAGGAGGCACGTGTGCAGGCATCTTGCACCAATCCTTCATTCCTCCCAGACCGCCTAGAACAGGCGGCTATTTATAGTCCCAGATGGATGCGTCCTCAGGGACAACTCCACCTGCCTTACGTGCACAGCTCACGGACTCTCCTCCGGACACACGTCCTTCCCTCCCTGCCTGTTTTCTTGGCTCTTGCTAAAATCATGGACTGGCTCAGTTCCACTTCCAACTGGACCAGAAAATGCCTGCTTTCCTGAGGGCACACGTGGGTGTGGCCTCATCTTTTCATCATTGCAAGTAGGAGACAACCGATCATGGTTAAAACATATTCCCAGAGCTCAGAGCTCAGCCATCCTTTGAAGGCCAAGTAAACCAGATTCGTTTTTACAGGCACTCTGTGCTATGCATTTGACGTATTTATGTTCTACATGTATTCCCATTTGTAGGGTAAAGACAGAGCCAGCTGGATCTCAAAGACATCCAGAATGAGATATCTTCACATCCCTCATCCCAGCCGCCATCGGCTCCAGTCTAGGTGCCTGCACCTGCTTCTACCCTCCTCCCGACTCCCAACCTGGCCTCCATGCACCAGCAAGCACCCAGAGATCCATGGGAAACTACAAGGATGGAGAAGGACCATCCTCTGCGCGTCCTCGCTGGTGTCAAAGCCACAGTCCTTGCAGGGATGCAGAGGCTCTACCTCCCTTATCCCCTTGGTCATTCTGCTCCAGCCACATGGACCTCCTGCTGTTCCCAAACCTGCCTGCTTCCGGATCCCTGCACTGGCTGTTCCCTCTGGTGGGAACACTCTTCCCTCACTAACTCCCTCACCTCCTTCCAACGCGCTTTGCCCAGAGGTCACCTCCTCCGTGAGGCCCACCCTGACCACCAGTTTGCATCTTTCCTTCCCTAGCAGGACTCACTTTCTAGCACATGATGAAATTCGCTTATTTATTCTTTATTGTGTTTATTGTCTGTCTCCTTGCATTAGAACTGGTCCCCATGAGGACAGGATGTCTGTTTTGTTAACGGCTATCTTCCATACACCCTGAACAGTGCCTGGCACACAGTAAATGCTCAATAAATAGTTGTTGAATGCCTTTACTTAGAAAAACTGGGTTGAGGCACCTGCCTAAGAGCCACATGGGCTGTGGGTGGCAGAGATGGAATTTGAATGCCCAAGCCTGGGGCAGCCATGGACAAGAGGATAATCATACGATTTCACAGATTTCCCAGGTAAACTGAGGCACAAGTGCCTGGGGAGTGGGAACCCAACATAGTGGGACCTCTTGAATCAGAATTAGATTGTGATACAATTGTCTTCCCTGTGAACAGACGCTGCTTTGGCTTACCTGGTAATGTGCCTGCCCGAGGACGGCCATGATTGGGCTAAGTCAGCCACGATCTCCCCGTTCCTGTTTGCCAGTGGGGGTGAATGTGTGACCGAGTTCTGGCCAATGAGTCATATGGGGAGTCTATGGGGACTTCAGGAAAGGGCTCTCCTCCCTAATGAGAGGGAGGATTATGCGAGGAGAGAGCCTTTGCCTGTGCACACCTCCAGGCTGAATGCCATGTGGTGAGAATGTGATGCTGGAGCAACAGCAGCCATCTGAGACCATGAGGAGAGACACTGATGACAGGCACAGGGTGCTGTGTGGGAGAGAGAACGTTTGGGCGTCTCTCTCTAATTAAACCCTGGTCAGTTGTTTAATTAGCCAACCCTGGGGTAGGGGTATGGGGCTACCTTCAGACCTCGTGTTAAGATGATAAATATCCATGTTGGATATTTATGAGTTGGGTCTTCTTTTTATTCATCCCAAAGCACCCTCAATGATTCATAAGCTGCATTCTCATGAGAGCCTGGAGAGAAGATTCATTCAAGACTGTACGGTTCTCATGCTTAAACAAATGCAGCTCATTTGAAAGCCTGCAGGAAATCTTAGTTACTCTGTGCCATTCTCTAGCGCAGAGGCCACCCACCGAAGGCAGAGCTTTCCCAGGAGAAGGGGTGGTCACTGCCCTGGCTGCCGCATCTGCAGGGCCAACAGGCCTGGCACAGGTGCCTGGCACACAGTGAGGCTCTACCTGGCTGGGGGTGGATACGTGGTGGATCTTGGCACCGACCTGCCCTCAGACCCCTGACACTGCTGGAGCCCATGGTCACTAACTGTCTTGGGTGATGGAGTGTGAGTCCCTGGCCCTGGGTCAGACTGCCATTGACACTGTCTCATCCCACCGCCTGTAGCTGGCGAGGAAGGGGTTATGGTTATTCCACACCCACTGGAGGAGGCTGAAGTGGCCTCTGCGCAGGTGACACAGGAGGGGGACCCAGGCAGTTGCCACCACCCATGAGTCCCCTGGGCCACAGGAGGTGATGAACTGGACTCTGAGGTCTGATGTACTTTGCTGCATGCCCAAGGTCTGTGCTTAACGGAAATCCTTTCAAATAAAGTGCAAGCTTCCCCTTTGTCTTTTAAACTAGGCTTTTAAAAAGAGGCATCTAATGGATTTTGCTTTCCAGAAATGTGGCAAATGTATCTTTATGGAGAGTTGAAAAAATTAGACCAGACAAATCCCACGATGCCCTGGAAAGCCCTAATGAAAAGCATGAAATCCACCAGCTGCAGGGAGAGAAAGGCCAGGGTGGAGGCCACCCCTTCTCCCAGGCAAGTGCCCCTGGCGCTGACACACCCCCTTCGCTCTGCAGCCTGGGCGGGGATCCGGAGGCTTGGGAAGGCAGGTGGACCACCTGCTTGTTTATGGAAATGTGGGAGGATGGGGGCCGGCCACACTCACACCCACAGCTCGTGCTCTCACTCCCAGAAAACAAATCCTTCCCTGCGTGTGCTGGACAGGGTGCTGTTCGCTTAATCATTCTTCCAAAGCAGCTCCCAGAACTTAATCATTCTTCCAAAGCAGACCTCAGGCCTGGGTCCGCACACGAGAACTGGGCTTCCTGCTGCCTTTGTCAGGCAGGGCAGTGGTATTGGGGCACCCAGGGCATCAGGGTGCTGTGGGCGGAATTCACTGAGGGCCAAGCCAGGCTGTAGATGTGCAGGCAATCCCCCATCCAGGTGATTCTTGGGGCATTGAGTACCCCCAGTGATGTCTCTGATAGTCACCCATATCCTTGGACAGAGTCCCAGTATCTCTGAGGGGCGGGGCTGGGGTCTGCCTCAGCCCAAGGGATCCAGGGCATTCCCACTCCTGCCAGAAATGGTGCACCCCCTCGGGGTCCCAGGGCCAGTGGAGAGCTGGCTGGGCTCAGCATCTTCCGTAAGTCACCAACCCCCTGCAGGGCCCCAGGTGCCGTGCTGTGGACTTAGGCCTCCTCCAGGACCAGCGGCACCAGGGTCAGTTCTCAGATGGTCCCCTTTTAGCAAAGAAGAGTCTAGGCCATTGTTTTCAAGCTTCCTTTTCAAGCAACAGGACTCTACACACAGTCTTTACACTGCGCCTGCAAACACGAAGCGGACTAGTGGACAATGTCTGCACTCCGATGGGCAGGGCTGAGACAGCACCTGCTCCCCTCCTGCTGCTCCCTCATACCCGGGAGACCCTCAAGGCGCCTCCACAGAAACCCAGGAGGGAAGACCCTGGCCCAGGGGCTGCAGACATGCCTGGAATGCAAACCCTGGGCAAGCTCCTGGCGCTTCCAGACCTCAGTGTCCCCCTTTCTGAAGCGCAGTCATATGTCCCCCCGGACGGCTAGTGACAGGATGATTCCCTTCCATCTGGAGCGGCCTTTCTTCTGACAGGCAGATTTCTACTCTCTTGAGGTTCTAGACAGCACGCCACCTCCCCTGTGAAGTCCTTTCTGGAGTCTTCGAAATCCTTCCCTGTGGGCATCCCCCGCCACACACATGTGCTTGGTTTTTACTATAAAAAGTCACCTTTTCAAATCGTATTGCACACCTTACCTAACATTATCTCCCTCACCAGACAGTGAACGCAGCCATGCTAAAGCTTGTGCTTTCTTGGTCTTTAGAACATTCAAGAGGCTGGCGCACAGCAGGGCCTCCTGAAGCCTTTGTGGAGCGGATGAATGCAGCCCACAATCACATGGGGGCCATGCGACGCCTGATGAAAATCATGATGCCCAATTATCTGCTTGTGGCACATTTCCTAGTTTTGTTTGCCCAGAAAAAAGCACACCGTCAGCACACTAGGGTTCATCAAGGGTCGTTATGGTTAAGCGAGTGTGAATCTCCAAATGGCCCTGGGGTTCATCATACGGAACCTGCAGAAGGCAGGCAGGCACGGGCCGCACACCGCAGCAGGGATTTGCAGTGTCCTTAATGTAATTCCTTTAAAACTGCAAACTCCTCGCGTCGACATCCATCAGATTGGTTTGATTTGCACATCCCTTCCTCAGTGCTATTTTTAATCTAATTTTAGAAAATTAGCGAGGGCACATGCGCTATCTTTGTGTAGGAAGGAGGAACAGGCTAGAGGGAGACTCGGCACAGGCCATCTCGGTGGGCGGGGCCTCACGTGATTTTTTTTTGTTTTGCTTTTTTCTCATCTTTTCAGGATTATTGGAATTTAGTAGATTATTTACATTATTGTTTTATAATCATAGAGAAATTGAAGTGATTTTAGTCTGGAATAATGGTAATGTTCTCAGTGCTACTTCGGGTGGGGGTGCCCGCATGCCTGTGGTCCAGCAAAGGTCCCGCGTGTCCCCCACTGCTGAGTTCACGCAGCTGACCACGACCATTTATTTACCTGTGTGGCTGCAGTGCTCAGGTGACCACCTTCCTTTGGCCCCAGGACCAGAATTCTCTGAGGCTGGGTGTAGACACAGGAGGACACCCCTGGGGACCTGGACCCTCATCCCCTGACCCTCCCCACTCTGGCGATTTCTCCATCACACCCACAAGAGACAAGGCTGTGTTGAAAAGATCACACTGTCCTATGAAGATTCTGTACCTGGAGTGTTCTCCAATATCCCAGGCCTAAGCAGAGCTTCCCAGGATGCTATGAGGGCCTGGGATCGCCACTGGGAGGCCTGTTTCAGGGGCCATACTGCAGAGGATCGGGGGACACTCACCTTTGCAGACGAAGCACTTGATGTGGAAGTACTTGTCCTGCACCCGCAGCACCTCGCCCTTGCACACATTTCCACATGTGTTGCACAGGATCGCCGTGCTGGGCGACTTCTCCAGCGGGCTGGGAGCAGCCTGGGGCTGCGACACTGTTGGGAAAGAGAAAAGAACAGTGTTCAAGGGTGGATGTGTGAGGCACAAAGGTGAGCACAACAGGGGTGTGAGGACGCAGAGCTGACCCTCCCAGCGGGCCCCGCGCCCACCAGCACAAGCGCCACAGGGCATCAGGGTCGGTCTGTTGTCTTCTTCTGCCTGGGGACCCACAGGAGTCAGATTACGGAGGGGTGAGGGGCCAGAGGGCAAAGGCCAACTGATCAACCCCCAGTGTGGGCTCCTGTCTACCGTAGCCCCACGCAGGGAGGGGCCCGGGGTTCTCATGCACATGCACACCTATGGCAATGAGGCCACCACCTCCCCACCTGAAAGATGACCCAACCACAGCTGCCTTAACCTGGCATGGCCTTACCCTCTGGGGTCTCAGGGACAAGGCACCCCCCTGTAAGCTCAGCAACCCTCAGCAGCAGGCACGAAATCCTCTCTCCTGCAAGTACAGCAGCCACTGTACGGTCCTAAGGGAAGCTCACTTCAACTTCCCTCTGGGTCCTGGGACATGGAGCTGAATATTGCTGCTGTCCCCTTAAATCTCCCTTAAAGCCACCACAGTACAGGATGTTTAAGGGGTGGCTGGATGGACAGGTCAGGATGGATGGTCACAGGGCCTGACTGTGGAGCTCCCAGGAACTGGGCAGGGTGACACACTCCCCATCCCCATCCTCCCAAAGCAGCTACAGAGACTAGTGCCCAGGACAGGGGGCCACGGCCCAGAAGCCTCAGGTCTGCCCTTTGAGGGGCTCCCAGTGGGCATTAGGGATGGCCAGGTGAGCAACAGTGACCACCAGGTGGCTGAGCTGGCATCGCTTTGAAGCTTGAGGAATTGGTAGATGGAGGTGAGCGAGCTGGATGTGGAGCTCTGACAGGCACAGAGTCAGCCACACAGGACCTGGGCAGGACCCAGGCGGTGGATCCTGGGGGGCCGGCGGAGAGGAGCAGCTGACACTCAGCAAGTGCTGGCCTGCAAGAATGAATCAGCCTGGGGACTGAAGGCCCAGAGCCCAGGGCAGGCACAGGTGGCAGGCAGGAGGTTCTGTGGCTAGTGCTGCAGTTGGCAGAACAATGCCCCCAAGATGTCCCCATTCTAATCCCCGGAACCTGTGCATACACTTCCTGACATGGCCAAAGGGGCTGCAGGTGTGACTAAGTTAAGGGCTTTGATGGGATACGATCTGGATTGTCTAGCTGAGTCCAACATAACCACAGAGGACTTAAAATCAGAACGCGATGCGACTGTGACCAGACGGAGGTGTGACCGTGGAAGAAGGTCAGGGAGATGACACACTGCTGGCTTTGAAGGCAGAGGAAGGGGCCACAAGCCAAGGAATGTGGGAGCCTTGAGAAGCCAGAAAAGGCAAGGAAAGGATTCTCCTCTGGAGTCCCCAGAAGGAACCGGCCCTTCTCACACCTTGATTTTAGCCCAGCAAGACCTGGTGGGCACCGTGACCTCCGGAACTGGAAGCTAATAAATTTGTGTTGCATTCAGTTTGTGGTCACTTGTTACAGAAGCCAGGGAAGCGAATGCAGTGGTCAACCTGTCAGGTTGACAGGTGGGGGCCGAGGGGCCGAGGCGCCAAGCCCCTCCCCTCTGCATTCTGCCAGCCACTCCTCGTCTGGGAGGGAGAGCCACCAACAGCAAGGCCCACCCCAGTGCAGCAGCCCAGGGCGGGCTTTCACTCGGCCAGCGCTGCGCCCCACGCCTTCTGCTCAGGCCAAGTTCACCCCGAACCATCTCATTGAGAGACTGAACACACAGACAATGGCCAGGCCCAGAGAAAGGCAGAGCTCAGCCCACACCTGCAGCTGCCGGCCCAGGAGTCCGGTCCGGCCTCGGCACCCAGCCGGGAAGCCAGCTATCTGGCAGACTCGCAGGGAGGCAACAGCTCTTCCTCGACAACCAGGAGGCTAAACAATAACTGGGTCCCACATGGCCAGGACTTGACTCGAAACTGACAGCCGTCCTAATTCGTGCCCCCGCTTTCCAGTTAGGATCATTCAGAGGAAGCCAAATACACCCCTAACCAGTCACATGGGATGCCTCCCTTCCAGGAGCCACCTCCAGTCCTCCGAGGCCGACAGCCTCCATGGGGGCTCACCCGGAGCCGTCCTTCCCGCTCGGAGGCTTCCCCACCACTTGCCTGCCCATGTGGTCAACTCCCTTGCCACAGCGGGTCTGAGAAAGTCACCTCTACTTGTCCTCACATCTTCCTTTATTTCCACAGCACTCTAACACCAGCTCCCCCTGTCTCAGTCTGGGTTCCCTTGAAGCCAGTCTTGAAGACAAGGCTGTGGGTGCAGTGGTCTATTTTGGGGGCCCCAGGTGCCAGGCCAGAGTGAGGAGCAGGGAAGATGAAAGCTGCTGGCAGGCGTGTTGTTGAGCCGCTCCCCATGTGGGAGAGGGGCCTCAGGGCTTGGGCCGTCCAGGAAACCCTGCGGAGCATGTCCCAGCTCTCCCGTGGAAGGAAGGGAGGCCGGGGCACTGGCCCCCAACCGCCTGTCCCCTGAGTGCAAGAGCTGCTCCAAGGCGGAACTCTCAGCCCCCTCTTCTGGTCTGCCTGGTATCTGGGCTGAGTGAGTTTCTGAGGCACAGAGCCAGGGGTGCTGCAGATGCCAGGGCTGGGCAGCCTACAGGTGATTGGGCATGGCCCACCTGGCTGCAGTCGAAACCACAGGTGGGCTGAGGGACGTGGCACAGGCCCAGAAAATACCTGCCACCCTTCATTTGAGGGCTAAGCGTATTCACACACAGACGCACACTCACATATATTTACACAATTGCTAAATGCCAGCACTGATTGCGCTCTGAGCCTGGAAGGTCTCCTCATCTCCCTGGTAAAAATCCAGCAACTGCATCTCAGACAGAGGAGGCCATTTCCCCATCCAGTTCCAATCTGCCCCTACCCATTCCCAGAAACCCACATCCTGGAAGCCACTGATCCTGCCACCCATCCTCGTCTGGGGTCCCTGCGCATGGATGGAACTGTGACTGGACAGCGCAGAGGAGGGACCTGGGTCATGTTGGGGCAGCAGGTCTTCCCAGGCCAGGGATTCCAAACAGACCAAGGGCAGTGGGTGTCAGCCGTCTGGGGACAAGGGAGAGGGGTTGACCTGGGAAGCAGGCACGGGAAAGGAGATGAATGGCATGAAAAATAACTCAGCACCACCCTGGGCCTGCCTCCGGTTTTGCAAACTGGACAAGACAGAGCGCGGTGAGGGTCCCTGCGGGCTCAGTCTACAGCCACTGGAGACCACTTGGCCTTTCTCACTCTGGTTGAGTCCACAGCAGGCTTGTTCCACACACATTTTGCCTGCAGAATGAAACCACCTCAACCATGATTTAATAAAGACGGTGGAGAGGCGGCAGCAGGCGACGGTTTTCTGGGCTGGAATCGAAGCCTCCCGGTGCAGAACAAGGATTAGAATTGTGGACTACACTTCAAACAGTGCCTCTCGGCCACGCATGGCCCCCAGGCCACCGGGACCCCTATAGGTGCCATGCGGGTGATGTACCCGGTCCACATCTGAGGCTCAGTCAGAGCTCGCAGGGGTGGGGGCTGTGCATCTTCAAGACGCGTATGTTCTGATCTATCGGCCACAAAGAGAACAACGCACAGGCATCTCTTCGTGATCCGACGAGGGAGAGGTTCGCGCTGCTGGAATCCGGCCCAAATCCAGCCTGAGGGAAGCGTCAGCTTCAGAGTCTCAGAGTGGTGGGGCCAGATGGCCTGGGATGCAGCCTCAGCTGGCCTTCTGCATGCTGTGACCTCAGGTGAGTCCCTGAAACTCCTAACCTTCTGTCTGTGTGTCTCTCCATCTAGGCATCCGTCTTCTTGCATTACCTGGCCCCAGGGATGCCAGGACCATGGGCGAAAACATTCCCATAGC